CCCAAATATATGTAATTATATGGAGTAAAATGACTCAATGATAAATGTAGGCTACCTGTAGATCCTGCGGAGACAGGCCGGACAGCTCCAGTTGTGGGACTCTCTCAGAGAGGACTCTCTCTCGTTCCTCTTTCTTCATTTGTATGTCGTTATCCAGCAAAGTAATGGCCTTCTTTAGCAGCTTGGTCTGGTGTACATACATGTAAAGAATTACACTTCAGTCAACAAGAGAATATGTTGAAGCCTTGCTTTCACACTATTTGCCATACATTACCTTCAAGAACAGTCTGCGAGATGCACTGATCTTTGGCTTTGGTTTCTGGAAAAAAAGACGTCATACATATCAAATCTCTGGAAAACATTTCAATATAAAGCAGCAGCAGTTTCTATGTACATGCAGGTGTTGGACATTAGTCTCTTTACAATTCAACAACCAACACAATGACACTTTGTGCAACACTGACTACAGCCTGGGTTGAATTTGACTTTACCCTTCATATTTAAACGTTTCATTATATTGTATTTTTACAATATTTCCTTATTATACAAGTGTTAAGTCAATCAATTCCACAAATAGTCAAGATACATTACTTTTTCGTAGTAAAATCAACTTACCGAACCCCTTATCCAATTAAGAAGGTGATGTATTTCAAGAAGAGAAAGAGAAAAGGTGCAATTTGTTACACTCGTTGAACTTTTTTTAATATAATTTGAGTGATAAGTAAATAAGACATAGCTACTTACCCTTCAGACATGGTTGCAGTTGTATGTTTACCCTTGTTAATTTTATCTAGAGAAGAAAGGAATAAGACTATTTTACACACATGAAGCTCAACTAAGGTACTTTAACAGAAGCAAAGCAACATTCAACACATTGGATTAAGACATCCTATAGGTTGCAGTTGTATAGGAGAGGACACAAACAATGTATGACATTGTCAAGAGGTCAAACTGACACCTTCAAAAATACTCTGTCAAACATTGCCAAAAATATAATTACCAGACAAATCATCAATCAAGACCATAATGGTTGGTGGTAGTAGTGGCCTGATTCATGTTGTTTCTATTTAATATTTTATATCCCTGTATTTTAACAGCAAACATATTCTTAAATGTACAGCTCAATACCACGAAATGACAAAATAATAATCAATGTGACCAGTTTGCAAATCCACACATACATATAATAAATCCACACTGTGATTAGTTATTTAAAACTTAAACCAGCTGATTTTTTAACCTAAGCAAAAAAGACTCTCCTCCTTGACTCCAGTGTAAGAAGAATTGTTTGTAAAGTGAGATAGTTTTAGAAAGAAAACAGTCAGTTGTAAGGAATTATAAGTGGACAAACAAACAAGCTGTTTTGGAGTTGAAAAATTACACTTTCTTTTCTCATTTCTAATAAACTGATATGATTTTGTGTTGCAATAAAAAGCCTACGTTAGCTGTTTAATCCCTTCATGTTCTGTAATACTTCAAAACAAAACCCCTTACCTTAGCAGGAGACAGATACTCAAAGGCGTCTTTTTCTGAGAGGAGAAGCGCAGAAAGAGGGTAGATATATAGATTCCAGCGGCCATGTGAGTGGCTCACTAAAATAGACCCTCTGTCCGCACCATTCTTGCTCTGCGTCCCTCACATCTCACATGTATGAGGTATGAATCTTTCTTGGGAATGTCCTCCTGTGATGCTTTCTTAATGTCCCCCGTCTCCACGTTAAGGAAGACGGGTGGTGGAGTTCAAAGGAGCCAAAGATAGGTTTGAGAAATTGAAGTTGTTCCCAAATACATTTAAATCGGTTACACAGATGAGAAAAACAATGGCAGGATTCATATATTTTTATTTATTGCTGGTTTCATGTTTGTATCAAGTACATCAACCAACATTAAGATCACATATGACCACTCAAAAAACATGACACAGACTGCAATCATGCTGTTTAATCTTTAGCATTTAATAGGCAATGCATTTTGAATGTCTGACAAGCTTGATATACATGTATCACAGCAGATAATAAACTAGCAGTTGTTTATTACAAACAATGTCTCTCTCCACAGTCAATATATTATCCTGTAGCTCTACAAGTTTCTGAGAGATGGTTTAAAGAGTTCTGCTGCCATCACATGGCCGTAGATGAGAACTACAGTGCTCCAGTTTCTACCTCAGGCCACCAAGCCACTTAAGTGATATGCTCTTTCAATTACTTTACTTATATGCGTTTTTTTTATTCCCTTTATAGCTTTTCACGCCATTGCTCTTAACTATTTATTCCCCCTGTTCGATTGTTTACGTCAGTCTGTCCTACTGGCGTGTTTTTATTGTTTGTCTGCACTTGGGACAGCGTTGTACTACAAATCTCGTTTTTTGTACAATGACAATAAAGGCTTTGTATTCTATATACTCTCCTCTATACTCTATTCTCCAGGCACAACTCTAATACAAAGCTGTAAGTGACTAAGAAATCAGTTTTACTATTCCCTAAATCCTCAACTTAAAATATGCTTTAGATAAACAGTTGCTCTCCTTTATAACTATAATATTAAAACGAGCAAGTCTATCCTGGTTTTAAGGGTAGTTGTTCAACTTTTAATTCCTCAATCAATATAATAAAGGTAAGACAGTCAGCAAAGTTAAGCAATTATTAAAACAAAAAGGGCTGTAATGATCCATCAATCCATTGAATGATCCAATATTGATCCAGAATCTACTGGCCGGCGTTAAACATCTTCTTCCTGCCGTCCATACCAGACATGGCGTCCACGTTTTTACGCCAGTCAGTCACCTCTTCTTTCTGTGGGGTGAAAAAATGATGATTTGAAAGTGATTGAAACATAAGTATTTGCAACCATATTGTACAACACAAATACACACACCGTGTTGGAGAATATCTTTGCTTGTAAATATAAGAATAATAAATAAATTCCTGCACTAAACACTGCAGCAGATTATGTACACATGCTTCTGTTGGAATCTTAACAAATCACAGATGAAACACAGGCAAGAGGAAACAGATCATTTGAATGCAATGGGCTGTAACCTGACGGCATGACCCTGAAGCAAAAGCCAGGCGTACCTTTTCCTCTTCCTTCTTGACCGTTTTGAGGCTGGCTTTGAAGTCGATGGTCTCCTTGTGTTTGGAGCCGAGCAGAACGCTCAGCATGGCTTCAGCTGAGATCTTCACTCTCCTCAGGGTCGGCTTCTTGAACTTACTCTGGATCTCAGTGATCTTCAGTTTCATGTTTTCAATCTGTTCAGGGGATCAATTCAGAAAAAGTCACGTGCTGATGCCATTCCACCACTGTGAGTCAAGAATTAACCCAAACTACTACAGTATTTATTCATTTACATGAAACCAAAGGGAAGTTATTTTCGACCAGATCACTTCTTCACATCCATATATGTATTTATAAACACTGAGACTTATCAATATGTCTATTTGTTATTTATCCAAAATTGAGAGCTGGAAGCAGCCTTGAAATTTCTTTAGACAAATCTCAAACCATCAAACAACTCTTGCAGACTTCCACCGGCGATACAGTTGAATAAGATTAAACAAGTTGTGGTCAAAAGCTTATCCGTGGATCTTGAGTTTCTAGGGTCCTAAACTATTCAGATTTTGTTTGTATATGTGTGTTCAAATAATCAATTAATAACTCAGATCGCTCAATACCACATATTTGATAAAAAGCTAATCTTGCTGCAGATGATCTAACCCTTATTTATATACTGTATGTTGAATGCTATAAGAGTACATCAGGCTTTAAGCATTAGTTTCTGTTATGACTCTGTGCTGCCACTCGGAGGCAGTGTCTATTCACTTAAAGGTGGGGTAGGTAATTCACTTCAGAAACACTTGTTGTTATATTCCATGGAATGCTCTTAACATCCCGATAGCAATGAATATATTAAATGCTTTGACAATAAATACATTNATCAAGACGTCTTTAAATTAAATCTGTAGTAGATGCTGTTAGCAAGCTAACTTGGTTAGCTGTGCAGCTAGCTGTATAATTGACAAAAACGCCCTGTGGTTCCGACACCCAAACTCAGGAAAAAACTCTCAGAATTCTTCAATACATATGGCGCGTAATAACAACTTGAATGCTGAAATTAACAGTGTTTTCACTCTGGTGCACATGATTAAAGTCTCAATCATACAGTATGGCAGTAACCTGACATTAAAATCTATTTTAAAATGGCTTTGAAAAGGTTGTTTGTAGTAGGGAATGTTTTTAACACATTAGCTAGATATATGCACACTGCATTTAAACAAATAATAATAATACTACATTTCCATATGAATGTTGTTTTTCAAAGAACTCAAAAATCACATTTAATGTAGATCTGCTGACGTAAATGACATCTGTTATATAACTGTGTAATGCTAATAAGTCACAAAATTCAGACAGGAGGTCTTTGACATGAACGATTGCATTGAAGCTGTCAATCAATTGCATCCTCCATTCAAAAGCCCTCTGTTGTTTGGAAAGATGATGTGATGCAATGAATAGAGAATTAATATAGGCTACTTATCACAAGGAATGTCAGCAATGTATCAAAGAGTTCTGACCATATTTAATGTGTTTGGCTGTTACACAGCTAACGGTGCACTTCACTTAACAAGGAGTCACATCTGGTTCGTGCTTTGATAGCCCTGAACACAAGGCTTGTAAAAATACACACTGCTCCAACACACAAACACACACACACACAAACACACACACTCTCTCTCTCTCTCTCAAACACAGGCACACACACACACACACACACACACACACACACACACACACACACACACACACACAAACACGCACGCACGCACGCACGCACGCACACACACACACACACACACACACACACACACACACACACACACACACACACACACACAAACACATACACCCACACAGTGTCTTTGTAAGTAATACAACACACTCCTTAAAAACTGTAAGATAAATAGCATTATGCAATAGGCAAATAACCTTCCCAATTATTGCTTCACACCTGGCTAACTCCGCTCAGCTGCAGTATATGGTCTGTGTAATATAATTAGAGGAAGCGAGCTGAGTGAGAGCCGAGGTATCTTTTCTCTCCCTGTGCAGACCTACGTCACACATTGGTATATTGATAATTATTGCTCATGTATTTTCATAACCTTTAATTATCGATTCGAACCCACTGTCAATTACTGTAAAGAGTGTACTACTACTGTCCAATTCCAGTAATTTGGCATACTGTACAAGGCTTCCGGTCTGTGTGCGTTTCTGTTTGTGTATTTTTGTGAGTTCATGGAATGCGCATGTGTGTGTGTGTGTGTGTGTGTGTGTGTGTGTGTGTGAGTGATGTGTGTGTTTTGTATAATCTTCATTTCATTATGGGCAACTGCAATTTAATTATTCATTCCATGCTCATCTCTTACAATGACTGCGGCAGGCTGTGACCGCAATTCAACTCAGTCAGGAAGTGTTTCTGTGTGTTCATTTTTCATCGTGTGGTGGGATCATGTCTGGGTTAAAACCTTTTTTAATTTCTGGCACAGTTCAAAAACAAAGAATAACAGAGTCCGCATATTGACATGACTGCTGGCTCCGAAAAGCCAGTGGGATCTGGCCCTACTTGTCAAGACTCCATTATATACAGTAAGTGTGTCATGATGATACAGGAAACAGTACAGTAGCCCAAATTAATTGGCTGAAACACCTATACCTTCTTGGTTATTTATGTGTCATTTTATAAAGAACTTCATACAATGTAGTTTTATAGTCTGTCCACAGTTTCTCTTTAAGAAATTTGTTTCAGTAAATTATTCCTTACCTTTCTTTATCAGGTGTACATCTAAGCTGGTTCTGGTCCATGGGCTTGGCCACTTCTTTAACATGGCTTTTCATTGCCCAGGTGCATGAGTAAAAGATGCAAACCTGGAGAAGTGAGAGCTTGTTGACGGGCCCAGATCCATACAGAAGTAGGGGAAATACATTTCAAATCAACAAATAGGGAATGTAAGTCCGAATCTGAGATCTTTTGTTTTGTTCAAGATATTTATAACAAAAAAGATTTACCTTCCAGAAAGCTAGAGAGTGCTCGATTTGTTGTTGGACCAAACTTTGTATTATTAGGACCTACAGTATAGTCTTTTACAGATGCTTAACCAGTTCTTGGCAATTAGGGGTAAGAAACACTTTATCACAGGACAAATGGTGCACAGCTAAAATGTCATGGCTAGCAAACAAGGGAATACATAATTGTCTCTTTAGCTGCTCAAACATTTTGCTCTCTGCTGCTGGACAGGTGGTGAACGGTTAAAAATAAACTTTATGAAATTGGATAAGTATGGGGATTAATAATAAAGGTGAGATAAAACAATAACTTATAGGAGGTGTAAATCAAAAGCTTCAGAAAGATTTAAACTTTGTATCAAAATACATAAAGGTTCAACATTGTCCCACTCTCAATAGTTTTAAAGGTCAACTCAAAGAATGGTTGAGAAACAAACAGACGTGCAATCACCGCTAAATAAATGCACTTTAACACAGGGGCATCTCCTCTTGCACTTTATGTAGCTCTTTTATCTTCTCTTGCACTTTATATGTCGTAGCTGCTATATTGTACTGTGGTAAATACTTGTGTATGCTGCTCTTGCTCTTTTGCACTTTTTGCATATCATGTATTTTGTTTTTTCTATGTTTGTAAAATGTAATTTTCTTAAATGTTTTATGTGAGGGACTGCGGATGGAAATTGGCTCAAAGCTAAATCTGGCACTGTTACGCTTGACACATTTGAATGTTTTAAGTGTTCATTACTGTGCATTGTCCCTGCCAAATAAACGATTAAATAAATAAATAAAAAGATAGTCAGGGTTTATTTTTCTGTAAGCTAGCAACAGTTACCATTGTGATGTTCTCCCTAAAGCAAATGACCATTGTGAGAATAGGACTGAAAGTTATAGGGTGGACTTTCCCTTTAAGAAAATGTTCTTAAAGTGATCATATTAACACAATATTTCAAACTTTAGTATCTGCTGTTTTTAACCCCAGAAGATATTACTTTTTTGGGGGGATATAATGAGGCTATCAGAAAGTAAAATATCATCACTCATTCCAGCAGGGATGCAACATTACTTTCCTGAAACTCTGCAAGGGTGGTGTAGCTGGTTATTGCATTAATTTAAAAACAAGATTCAAAACCCTAGAATATGTATCACCGAGATGGAAATTCCACGTTTTTTCTTTCGTGTTCACACACAAGTTACTGCCATTCAAAATGCTGAAATGAAATCTCCAGTTTGTCATTATACTCAGAGGTACAGTTGGTGCATTGCTGAAATGACTCAACATGAAAATAAATCAAAATAACAAATTAGGGTGTAGAGAAAATGATTAGGTCCCTGTTTGGGACATTTATGAATGAAAATGATTGCAGTTGGTGAAAGGGAGAGGAGAATGTTACTGTAAGAGGGGTAGGATAGGGACAAAGGAAGATTAAACGGTGCATGACATAATATCCTAATGTCTAGTAACAAAACTATATACAAGGTAGCTCTGCATGCTTCATCATAACCAAGGCTGGCTAGATTATCAAAATAAAATCCACTTTGTGATCAAAAACTGATTTTCTTTTCCCCATGTAAGTTTGTAACACATTTACCTCATCTAACACACCCAAGATCAGACATTAAAAGAGTAGAAAATAGTGTTATAAACGGAATAATACATTCAATCCTAATGCAGTCCTGTCCCATTAATATCGCTCCAGTTGAGTCCAATCAGTACAATATAGCTTGTCTAAACCTCCAAATTCTCCTGCCATCTCACTGAGCTCAGCATAATTGAATCCACTCAGACCAAACTAAACATGGGCAAACATGTTGAGGGTGATAGAAGAAGAAAGCCCCGCGCCTCAGAATGATGAAACAAACAGGAATTGTCTTTGACACAAGTTGTTTAACTCTTGTCTCTTTAACTCAGTGGTATCATTATCTGCACAGTGCTCAAGCATACACGCACGCACGCACGCACGCACGCACGCACGCACGCACGCACGCACGCACACACACACACAGAAACACACACACACACACACACACACACACACACACACACACACACACACACACACACACACACACACATTGATCATGGGACGTAAGTCGCTGAGGGCGACACCGACCGGCTTCCGTCGTAATAGTTGGTAAGCACCTCGCTTTAACGGGGCCCCCCCCCAGTGTTAGAAACCTTTTATTATTTGAGCGGTAATTTCACAAGGATATTAGTCGTTCAAGGAAAGTAACGCATAATATTAAGCTAACTTTAATGGTATGAATACAAAATGTCACTATATAACCCCCCTGTATAGTATAAAAATATATAGTTTTTCACCGCCCACGTTGTTCCGTGTGCATGACTGGAGGGGGTAGTGTCTCAGTTAACCCCTACGGGGACGAGACGAGGCGAACGGAGGTAACGAGTCGTTCGCGGGTATGGTAGGTCGTTATTACTTCCCTTTCGCCACGAGTAAGCCGCAGCTTGTCTTATGTTCGGGACAAAAAAGAACATGCAAAAAAAAATTATGTGCCGTATTATGAAAACGCGGAGGAGGGGAGTAGATTGAATGCGAATGCTATAATTTATTTGGTATAATTATTTTTCTATTATTATCACAAGAGACGGGGGGGGGGGGGGCGTTCACGACCCGGGAACCTTAGTAGGATTGGAGGTGGGTCGATGCGGAGCACACACCCACAACACACACAACACACACAACACACACACCACACACAAACACAC